AAGGGCCTCCTCGCCATAAAATATGCACTGGCTAAGGTTTCGGGTATGTCCCTTCGGAGATAGGCCCTTCATCGTTTATACCGACCATGCGTCGTTACGCACGACCGTAAACAGTCGACACCTCTCGCAGTGAATGGCGAGGTGGCTGTCTTTCTTCGCGGAGTACAACGTTTTCGTCGAGTAGAAACCAGGACGACTTAACGTCGTCGCTGATGCTCTTTCGCGTCGGCCCGATTTCGAGCAGACTGCTCAACACACCTGTAAGGGTGGTCCCACTGTCGCGATACTAACAGTGAGTGTTCCGTCGTCGAATCTGCTCGATGGCGTGCGAAAAGCCTACACAGAAGATGAGTTTCTGATGCGATTGATGGATTAAGTATCCAATCCATGCAGTCAAGCTTTGAAAAGCTTGTCGTCCCAATACCGCTCTTCAACCAAACGGTATTCTGTTCGTGATGGACTGCTGTACTATACAGCAGTCAACTGAGACACGCCTCATGTCGTCGTCCCCGCTCATAATAATATGCGACTGCACATCATGTATGAGTGTCACGATGCCCCAACAAGTGGGCATCGCGGTAGAGAAAAGACTTACCTCATGGTGAGTCGTGACTTCTACTGGCCCTGCCAGTGTGAGTTCGTGCGCATATACATTCGCGCTTGCGAAGTTTGCCATCGGGTGAAGCCTAGTCCTTCACCCTGCGCACCCTTGCAGCCTCTACTAATTCCGGCAGAGTGCTGGCAGTCCGTATCGATGGACTTAGTCATTGGGTTTCCCAAAGACGTTCACAAAAATACTGGTATTCTTGTGTTTGTTGATCGATTCAGCAAGATGTTACATCTTGTTGCTGTACCGGAGTCGATCACAGCCCAGGGATGTGCTCTTGTCTTCATTGATACTATCTTCCGACTTGACGGGTTACCCCGTGAACTCGTGTCTTATAGAGATCCCCGCTTCACAGCGAAATTCTGGCAATCCGTGTTCCGTTCACTTAAACCACGATAAAAGGTGTCAACTTCTGGCCATCCTGAAACAGATGGTCAGACGGAACGCGTCAACCGCGTCCTCGAAGAGATACTTCGAGGGTACATCCACTCGTTTACGAGTTGGGGTGAGTTCTTGCCGATGACCAAATTCGCCATCAACAACTCGGTGCACGCGTTGTCGACGCATGCACCATTCTTCGTAAATGGCCAACGCCATCCACATTTACCCGCCTACTTCTTAGAGTGTGACTCTGTTTAAGGAGGGGGGTAGAATCGCTCGAACAAAAACCGATCTAGCTCTTGCTCATCACTCGTCGACAATGGTGTCGACGTGATGGATGCCTATGTCGATCACATCGACACCGATTACGACAACGACGATGCTGGAATATTCAGCACCGCCAATGACCGCCAAAGTGAGGACGATGATACCCTCACTAAAGAAGACAACGTTCTTTTAGCTGTGCACACGAAGCGCACTGCTGTTAACAAGGATGAATCAGCAGAGTAATTTCTGCTGACTCTCGAAGCGGTTGTCCGCTTCGCTCAAGACTCTATTGCAGATGCATTAGACGGACAGAAGAGAAACACAGACAAACATGGAAGAGCAAATGTTCTTTCATTTGATATAGGAGACCTAGATTTACTGTAGACAGTAAACTTACCGAAACACGCAGTGACAAACGTGGGCAGCAGTAAACTACTGCCTAAGCATATCGGTCCACTTCGTGTGTTGTGCTGCATGGGCAACGCATACACGATTAAACTGCCTTGTAGGATGCAAACGCATCCTACGCTTTACGCTGGACGTCTCCGCCCGTACTATCAGTACGATCCCGTTTCGAGAGGCGAAGAACACCTCCGCGGTAACGAGCCGAGACCACCTTCGAGTGGTCCTATTTCAATGAGCCAGTCTGGTTGAATAGCGAGGCCACCGGCTCAACCAGTTGAGCGATGTCTTGACGAGGTGCATCCAGCTCGTCACAAAGAGAACGAGTCGAACTTTCGTTCTCAAGTTGCGCGAACGCCAATGCGGCACGATCATTCGAGCGATCGTGTGCTAAGGAATTTTAATTATTCCTTACAAGGTCTTGAAGCTCATAACGGTGAGTCCGTTCATGAGCCAGGTCATCTTGCAGCTGTTCGGTTACACGGTTCAGTTCCTGAACATCAAGCTGATCCGACCCTCGAGCCGGATCAGGTGTTCCCACCACCACCACATCCTTTGGTGGATTCTGGTGGTGGTCAACGCTTTCTATTGGAGCGTATCTTGAACTACCGCGACGTTAATGGCGTCCGGACGAGTTACCTCGTCCGCTGGCATGGCTATCCACCGGCGTGGGATAGCTGGGAGCCTCGGGACCAGCTGATCGTTGATGTTTTGGTTATCGTCGAGCAATATGACGAGACCCACCCTCTGCACTCGAAGAAGGACCATCTGAAAACGACCTCTCCAAACGCGAGTACAGGGATCGCAAAGTGTCAATCTCTTCGGCTATCTCAGAAGAGATGCGCGCCCTCCAGTAGGGATTATTACGTAGGCAGACCTCCATAGGGGCACGGTTCAAGTTGTCCAGGCAACCTGGACACGAATCACCCCACGAGAGACAGAGTTATCCTTCCTCTCTTGACAGTCGCCGCAACATATATCGTACCCCGACTGGGTTGCGCTCTCAAACCTGATGCGGGCTGTATCAAGTTTACCGAGCCAGGACTCACGGCCAATGCGCTCGATGTTATGGATGAGGGCATTCCATCCTTGCACCAAGGCCTTATCGTCTCGACCACGGTTGTCGTTGTACCACCGATGTTTGAAAAATGTATCGGTGAAGAATTCTCCCTCAGCACGGATAGTTTTCGTGCTGGAATTAGGTGGGCAAATCTTCCTACAGACAAACAACGGGATTCGATCCCGTTCGGTGGTAAGGCCGGCCAACCGGTTCAACTCTATGGATGATGGCATCCAAGGAGACTCCACTTGAGGAGCGTGGCGCTGGACATTTCGGTACCTGGCCTCTTGATTGGTGTCAGCGTGAGCACTGACACCAGTGACAGCTTGATCTCTCGAGTTGCTTCTCTCATAATGATGCATTGGGGTATCATCACCATCACCACGAGTCCTATCGTTGAAGGGACTTGCGTGAGGCGAGGATTCGTCAGAAGAGTCGCTCGGCCCGACGATCTCGAGCATGGTACCGCCACGTTCACCAGAGCCAGTTAACCTGGCTCTTGTAGTGTCCGCCCTGGGTGATCCGGAGGCGTGAGGTGTCGCCTTCGAGTCGGATACATCATCCGACTCGTCATAATAGATGAACTCTTATTTCAGACTCGTCTAAATTGCGATTCGCGGTACCCGCTGAAGATACAGCGGATGTATCTGTCGCACGTAGTGACTCACCGCGTACACTGTTCACAACAGGCACCGCCTATTGTTGAATCGCCACAGCAGGGTAAAAATCGCCTGCTGCTGAAGCAAGAGAAAACTTCCTTCGGCTGCATGCATGCGTGCAACCTCCTTTCTTGCTGCTGCGACAGCACATCGCATGGACGTTAAAACCATGCGATGAATTGGCAAACGAGTTGAGATTTGAACAACAAGTGCTTCCCTTCCCATAGTGATCCAACGGTCGTCACCCTATCCCAATCAGTTTAATTCATTCAACGAGTGATCGATAGTTAAGGGGGAGGTGATGTAACGGGGTAGCCCGTTACATGATATTGTCACCGAACGGTGTCAATAGGGAGATTGTCTAGCGCGACAATTCCCTGTCAATAATATACTCATGTGACAAAATTCACGTGCTGCTCGAAGATTGGTTGATAAAGACATATCAACCAAGGTCACAACCAATCGCTGCTAGACGCGTGTAATTAGTGGTGAGCAGGATGTCGTCGCACGACAATGTAGATTAATACAGTCAGATAAAGACTGAAGTTATATTGATAGCTTAACTTTATTGAATACAGCTCTCTATTTACCCTTTAATCGAACGAGCTGTTTGAGTAGATTAGCTTCCTCTGCACGTACTAGTATACGTGAAGTTTCGTGGCACCCTAAACAAAGGGTGCCCCGTTACATATGGTCCCAGTTTGAGGGGACCAAACGATTCAGTGAATCGACAGTACTTAGTGCTCGAGAGTAATTAGCTACCTCAAGGAGGTGTTGCTAACTCTTAGTGGTCAGTGATTTACGACCAAAGACGCCTCGCAAGACACGTGTCTTTAAGATCAAAAGCAGAACTGAATTTCATTTACATTTAAATCAATGGATTATCTTAATCCTGATCTGGACATTTATGTCCTAAGTTAGTACAACTAAGATTTCCCCTATCTGGTGGCTGACACCAGTCAGCCCCTATTAACCGATAAGATTTATAAATATATCTTTCAGTGGGATATCATCCGTGTGTCTAAGATACGGGTACCAGGAACCCAACAACGTGTAACCCCTTTAACAGATAGAGAACTCGCAAAAGCGTCTCTCGAAATTTTAATCAGGCGAGCGTTGATGGCAAAGCGCTCTGAGAACATAGGGAAACATTAATAACCACGAACATCTTTGTTATTATGTGCAAATTATGACGTAGCGAACTAACCACAAGGTCTGTGTTTTGTAGGTAGTAAGAATATTCCTTACTTCCAAGAATCCTTGTAGCTCGCTGATGAGAGCTTTGACAATGCGGAAGCGCTAAGGAAGACCAATTAATGTTCTACAAAACTAATGCTGCATCATCTAGTCCTTCGTTGACTTGAAGAGGTGAGACAAAGGTAACAGCGTCAGTTCAAGACGTATGGCCAGTTCATGTGCCTCGGGTAATTCCTTTGCAGTCTGACCCGACAATGCACTATCAAAGTGATAAATGTTTCCAGTTCTTCGAGATTTCGACCGAGCATCTGAATATTCTGCGCCATGGATGCCTGGGGTAGGGACACTGTAGCTGAGGCGCCGATCAGCATCTCTTACGAAGCAAATAGCTAGAGACGCGGCGGGACGGCTTTGTCGGTACGAACAGCTACTGTAACGGGGCACCCTGAAGCTTGTACTGGTGACAGTACAAGCTACTTATTCTGATAACAGAATAAGGCGGTGCCTCGTAACTTCACGTACACTCGTACGTGCAGAGGAAGACGGTAAGAAGAAGCGAGTACTCGGTTAGAGTAAAAAGTAGAACCGTATTTATAATAGTTAATGTCTGCAATAAATCACTATTTATCTTCATCTAACTATGTCTAAATACAAATGTGTAAATCAGTTATCTGCTCACCACTCATTGCGTGCGTCTGTCGTGGCGCGTCTTCGTTGGTTGATATAATGGCCTATATCAACCAATTAGGAACTACTTGGAAGTGCTACAGAATATTGTCCTTATGACAATATTCTGAGAATATAACTCTTATAGTTATATTCTATTAACAATTTCTTATAAATTGTTATGTAACGATTCACCCCGTTACATCACCCCCCTTAACCATCAGTCACTTTGGTGACTGATTGACTAAATGGATACTCGTCCCAAATCATTTGGGACGGGGTTTTGCACTTGTTGGTCCGCGTCCACTTTCCAACATCTCATCGCATGGTAAACAAGCCCATGCGATGCGCGAGCAAGGCCGCCGAGAGCGCGTCTGCACGTCTCTGTGCGGACGCCGAAGCAGAAACTACAGCAACTGATATCCCATCGGTTGCTGAATCGACTCAGCCTGTATCACCTGGTGATGCAGGCGCTGGTCATGAAGACACTCGTGTCTTCACAGAGTACGAGCTCGGTGTCTCGTACTCTCCTGATACGGATGACGGATCCGTATCGACGGCAATTGAATCCAAGCCGCCTGCCAAGCGTGGCATGGACGATGCTTTGCGTCGCAGCATCTTTGGTTCATCTGACTCATCAGATGAACCATCGCCAACGAAGGCGCTCGAGGTCGCGAGACTCGGGCGCTAATAGTGGTGTCGTTTCTCCAATGGACACCACTTCACAGCGAGTGCCAGTACTTCTGTCGGCACGTCGCAGGAAGAGCGGGACCGCAATGTGTTGCGTCTCGCTCCAGAAAAAAAGGCATGGATGCCTCCTAAATCTGTCATGGATCACTTGTCGGCGACGACGAGTGATCGTTATCGAACACGATTGTTCGATTCGTCAAGAGATTCATCACCTTGACCCCAGCGCGAAAGACTATCGCGCTGAACATGAGTTCTTCATCGATGCTTTCTTCAGACATCGATGGTACAGTGGGAATCACAAACGTGATGGTCCCTCACTACTTCAGGCGTGGAACGCCTACATCCATAATCTCGAGGATGTAGGTCGTGACGCTTGGAACGACAAACTTATCAAAGCTCGTGATAAGTTTGAAAAGCGAACCCCGACAGGTGCACGCTACAAGCTGCATCGTCTGTCAAGGGAGAAAGGATTACCCTGCCTCTCTTGGGGAGACTCGTGCCCATGTTGTGTGAACAACTCTGCACGAGCACCTAAGGAGGCTTACCTCCTTACCAGCCCGTGGTGGCGCGTACGTGTCTCTACTGAGATGTACGAAGGGATTGACAACCTGAAATCCCTTTACGACCGTGCCGGGAAGACTTTCTCCGGCGGTCCTTCTGCGGCACAGGATGTGTCGCGTCGTACTGCTCGACCAGACCCAGTACGTCAACCATCAATTGGGAGCGGGGCTCCCAAGAATCCCAGGACGGGGGATAGCCGCGCCACCGGACGAGGTAACTCGTCCGACGTCCGTTCACGTCGCGGTGGTTCAACAGCTGCTCTACTAGATAGCGCTGGCCACCGCGAGAGTCCTCTAATGGAGGTGGAGGAGGAGGAAAGACGCTCTCCACACGATCATGTGGATCGGTGTGTTCCCGAGAGCTTCTTTGATCGCGTAACGCAAGGGTTACGCGACGATCTCGAGCATGAGCGGAATAGGCGTCTCCAGATGGTGGACACTGCCTCGAAGCATCGAGCTGAGTTTGCCTTTGCTCAGCTTGAGAACGAGAGATCTCTGACATCTCTTCGTGACGAGCTAAGGGTAGCTCGTGGGATTGTTGATCGGTCTCAGGCTGAGATAACTGCTCTTCAGACCCTTGTTGATGCCCACCATCAGGAGCACAAGGCTCTCTGCGAGATGCTTGAGCGCAAGGGCGTTCTTCATCGGAAGAAGCAGCGTACTGATGGTACGGCTTAAGCCGACCAACGTAAAACGTGGGATGCGTTCGCATCTTACGTGGTAACTCGATCGTGTATGCATTGCCTAGGCGGTGCAATACACGAAATGGGCCAATGTACTTGGGTAGTAGTTTACTGCTACCCAAGTTAGTCACTACATGTTTTGGTAGATTAACCGTAGACAGTAGGACTAAGTCACCTTTATTAAATAAAGAGTGTTTGCCCTTCCATTCTTGTCAGCGTTTTGCTTTTGCTTATCCACCGCTTCGGCGATGGAGTCTTGCACAAAACGGACTACCGTTTCACGAGCCAGTATGAACTCATCTGATGACTCGTTAGCTTCAGTGTGCTGTGAGCGCACTGCAGCGACAACAACCTTTTCTTCAGTGAGGGCTTCCGCACTCTCACTGGGATCATTGTCTTCAGTGAGGGCTTCCGCACTCTCACTGGCATCATCTTCTTCGATATCGATGTTATCGATATCGGCATCAAACGCAATGACTTCTTCGTCAGAGCGTGATGAGCGTGAACCAAATCGGTTTTTGCTCGCGCGAGTCCCTCCCCCCTTAAACCAGAGTTACACTCTAGTAAGGTGGGTACACGCGGATGGCGCAAGCCATTCACGTAAAACGGTGTATGTGTCGTGGACGCATGCACCGAGTTGTTGATGGCAAACTCTACCATTGGCAAAAACTCACTCCAACTTTTAAAGGAGTGTACGTATCCTCGAAGTATCTCTTCGAGGACACGGTTGGCACGTTCCGTCTGACCATCTGACTCTGGATGATCAGATGTTGACATCTTCAAGCGCGTTCCGAGTGATTTGAACACGGAACGCCAGAAATCAGCAGTGAATCGTGGATCTCTGTCTGATACGAGTTCACGGGGCAACCCATGAAGTCGGAAGATGGTGTCAATAAAGACACAAGCACAGCCACTTGCCGTGATTGTCTCTGGTACAGCCACAAGGTGTACCATTTTGCTGAATCTGTCAACAAATACGAGAATACCCGTATTCCCGCGTGCGTCTTTGGGTAACCCGAAGACGAAATCCATTGAGATGGATTCCCAGCACTCAGCCGGAACCGGTAGAGGCTGTAAAGGTGCACGCAGTGAAGGACTTGACTTCACTCGTTGGCAGACTTCGCATGCGCGAACATACTTTCGCACAAACTGATACTGGCGGGGCCAGTAAAAGTCTCGACTTACCGTGAGATATGTTTTCTCTCGGCCACGATGTCCTCCTATAGGAGCATCGTGATACTCGAACATGATCCGCAAACGCAGATCAGTATCATCTGGAATGACAACACGTGGTGTGTCACCAGAAACGGCTGTATAGTACAGTAAACCGTTACGAGTAGTGTATCGATCTGATGCAGATCGATACGCAGACGACAATCGTTTCAACGATTCTCGAGATGGTTGGGAGAGATGTGACAACAACTTCACTATCTCACCATCTTGGGCGTATGCCCGCCTCACATCATCATACAACGTTGTAGATGGAACTGAGGACGTCATAACCGCAACAGTGACTGTCTCACTGTTGGGTTTCGCGACTGTTTCAAAGTCGGGACGACGTGAGAGTGCATCAGCGACGACATTAAGTCGTCCTGGTTTGTACTCGACCGTAAAGTTGTATTCTGCAAAGAATGACAACCACCGCGCCATTCGTTGTGAAAGGTGCGGGCTGTTCACTGCCGTGCGTAAGGACGCATGGTCAGTGTAAACAACGAAGGGTCTATCTCTAATAGATAGACTCTGAACTTCGCGAGTGCATACTTCATGGCAAGGAGTTCCTTGTCATGCACTGGATAGTTCCGCTCAGCTGGTTGCAGCTGACGCGACTGATAGCAGACGACGCGTTCAACGCCTTCAAGGTCGTACTGCATTAATGCACAGCCGATTGCGAAATCGCTGGCATCACAGACCACATGAAATGGCCTGTCCTGATCGGCTATTGCTAGGACTGGGGATTGTATCAAGCTCTGCTTGATACCCTCAAAGGGCGTTGACATTCAGCGTTCCATAACCACCTCTCGTTCTTTTTCAACAAACGAGAGAGGTGTACAGTCATCTCGGCGTAATTGCGTGAATACTTATGCAAATACGCCGCTAGCTAAGGAATTTTCGAAGACCTTTGACATCGACCGGCACGGGCCAGTCGGTGATCGCCTTGATCTTTTCGGGATCAGGACGTACACCGTTCTTACCAACGATGCACCCAAGAAGTGGTATTTCGCTTGCTGCAAATATACACTTCTTGAGGTTTGCATACAATTGATGCTTTCGCATGATTTTGTAAGAACTTGTCGGACGTGGTACTTGTGAACCTCAACGTCCGACTTTCCATCCATAGCTCGACTATGGATGAATACGTCATCGAAATAACTCGGCGCGAATTCTCGTACTGGCCTCAACAGATGTGATACACACCTGTTGAACGTGGCAGGGGCATTACTGAGCCCTTGTGGCATTACTAGCCATTCCCAGAGCATGCCGCTAGGCGTGCTAACTGCGGTATAGGGTATATCCCGTTCCCGCATTAGGATTTGATAGAAGCCATCCATCAAATCCATGGACGAAAAGATGGTACTCTTTGACATACCATCAATGATTACGTCCTTCCTCGGTATCGGCGTCTGAGCCGGTACCGTTGCAGCGTTCAATTTGTTAAACGCGTGCACTATCCGCCACCCTCCTGTTGCTTTTCGCACACAGAAGGTCGGAGAGCTATGTGGGGAAGTTGATTCCCTCACATGGCCCGCTGCTAAACGATCGGCAAAGAACTTGTCGATCGCAAGTACTGTTCACGAGGCAGTGGCCACTGCTTCATGACACAGTACTTCGAGCCTGGTTTAAGCTCGACTTCGTGTCGAATACCTTTATCCTTCGGTAATTCGCACGGAACAGTTTCAGGGAATACATCCTTGAATTCAACCAAATCTTCATAGAGAGGTTTTCCTTGAGCGATTCCCATGATTGGGACTCATATCGCTCAATTCGTGTCTTTTCATCTAGGACACTCTCGTCCATAGATGAACTACTGAGAACTCTCTCGTTCTCAGTAAACACTGTTGCTGACCTTATGTCGGTTACACACTCGTCGTCAGCGACGAGTATGCAGATCTGCTTGACTTTGCCACTACGCAGATCACGCAAGAACCTTTTATGTTCGAGCGTTGGCAACTGAGTGATCTCCGAAGTTAACTTCGGAGGCGCAATCAGATCAAGTGTATAAGCGCCTACACATGATCCGTTATTGACTATGACATTCAATGTCTCTGTCATTTCCTGGGGACTTATTCCCTCAGGCTTCGAAGGACTTATTCCTTCGTCTTCCCGAGGACTTATTCCCGCGGGTTTCGGGGAACTTATTTCCGCCGTATTTGTAATCTTGGGACTTATTCCCTTTACTTCCTCTAGCTGGGGTTGCGCAACCACAGCGAGATCCTCTACGAAAGACTCTCCAGTCGATCTAGGATTATCGTTTCGCTTAACCTGAGCGATCGATTGTTTCTCTTCTAGATGTTCCCCTCTAGGGATACATCTTTGTCCCAGTCCACCCGACTTATTCGAGTGGTGGACCTTCGGCGCAGCCTGTGTTTCCCTCACAGCCGCCGGAACTTTGCTCGAAGTGTAACCGTTTGGTACACTAAGGTTTTGTGCAGTCGTACTAACGACCGTACCACAAGTGAGGCCATCGCACTCACTCGTAGTACATCCACACGCTTGTGGACGCTCCAAAACGTTCATCAGATGGCCATCTGATGAACAAGCGGCAGGCATCGTTACTGTCCGATGTTGCCAGTTTACCCGTGGTTCGTACCTTCTGAGCCACGGTATTCCAGGATGACATCAAATTTGTCATCCAAATCCAATACGATAAAGTCATCGTCGTATTGGGTATCTTCTAGCGTATAGTGAATCTTCACTATACGCTTCATGATTTGAGTTACGGATGCGCCTGTCGCAAGACGTACCGTCATCCTCGTAGGAGGTGTGTCACATTCACTGAATTTAAAGTGACCATCTTCTAGCGATTGGCGTCGCACAAAATTGTTGGACGCCCCACAATCGACTAGAGCTCGAAGGGACAACTTATTCGTCACTTCGAGTTTCAAATAATGAGTGAGATCTCATTACCTAGAGCAGCAACGCACAATGTCTGTGTGTTGGGAGCAACCTTCATCAAGAGGCCTACAAATTCTCTTGACGTTGCTGGATCAGTAGGGTGCTCCGCACCTACTGATCCTGTCCGTTTTTGACGGTCCATCCCGTTGTTGCGTCTTTGCACCAACTGCGGACCCTCGTCCCTGCCCCTTTCTCATGGGTGGACGGTCACTACGCCCAGTGTCGCGAGACACTGGACGAGAGGCACTACACTCGTAAGCGTAGTGTCCTGTCTTTTGACATCTGTTGCATCTCTGCAACTTCTTGTAGCCTGTAGAGCGAGCCTTCTCGCTCTCTACATAACAGAGTTCCATCGGCTCTGGACCTCCGTTGTCATATCGTCTCGGTTGACGATATGATGTCGAGCTGGCGCGAGCCTGTCTCAGACTGAAGTCTTCCTGCTCCGCAATTGAAATGGCTTGTTCTAGTGAATCTAGTTCAAGCCGGAACAGGTGAGTCTTGACGGGACCATCCGCAAGACCCTGCATGAACACCGAAACCAACGTGTGTTCATCCACCGGATTGGAACTTATACAACTCGTGAGATGTCGTATATGTTGAGCGTAAGCGTGCACATCACGCTTACCCTGCTTGAGCTTCAAGAGTTCGGTTCGAGCTCTGAACTCAGCTCTAGGCAGTTCAAACGTTTGTCTGAGCCGCGACTTGAAGACTTCCAACGACCCAAACGCATATGGGTCGTGCAGCTTGAGCCCCAGTGCCCAAGTCTTGGCACGTCCTGCCAGATTTGACTGGGCAAATGCAACTTGCATATCCCCGTCGTCGATGCGACGCGCCCTTATAGCGTCGTCCAATTCGACGAACCATCTCAAGAGGGAGTCTTCTTCGACCCCTCTATACTTTGAGATGTCAATCTTCAAAGTCTCGGGCCGACGCGAGTGCATCGACCCGCCAGCGGCAGCCTGCTGCTGTCTCAACAGTTCAAACTGTTGAGCACCTTGTTCTCTCAACAACTCTGCTTGTTGAGAACCTTGTTGGTGAAGCAAGGCTACTTTCTCGCGTTCTGCGTCAAGTTCATTTTGAATGAACTTGGCGATAGTAGCATGTTGGGCATCTCTATTGAGAGCCTCTAGCATGACGCTAACAGCATGGATGCCCATGGTCGAACCCATTCGTTCAACCGCATCCCATTCGACATCGCTCAAATGGGAGTAGCCGTCACGCGTAGCGTGAAAGCTTTGGTCATCTTCATCATCCAACATATTCATGTTGGATGTGAACGCGGTCCTTGGACGGACTACGAAGTGCTACCAGGTGTAACGGGGCACCCTGAAGCTTGTACTGGTGACAGTACAAGCTACTTATTCTGATAACAGAATAAGGCGGTGCCTCGTAACTTCACGTACACTCGTACGTGCAGAGGAAGACGGTAAGAAGAAGCGAGTACTCGGTTAGAGTAAAAAGTAGAACTGTATTTATAATAGTTAATGTCTGCAATAAATCACTATTTATCTTCATCTAACTATGTCTAAATACAAATGTGTAAATCAGTTATCTGCTCACCACTCATTGCGTGCGTCTGTCGTGGCGCGTCTTCGTTGGTTGATATAATGGCCTATATCAACCAATTAGGAACTACTTGGAAGTGCTACAGAATATTGTCCTTATGACAATATTCTGAGAATATAACTCTTATAGTTATATTCTATTAACAATTTCTTATAAATTGTTATGTAACGATTCACCCCGTTACAGCTACCATGATTCGGCCGCCCGAGCCTGGTATCGGCTCCACCAATACATAATCAGGTTTGCGTAGCGCTCCGCACTTGCAGCACACTTGAAAAATTTCCGCACCACTTGCAATAGATCGCTCAGTATCATCCGATCTTCTGGCTCATACTCAAAAGTAGGGGCACCAGGAGCCACATATTTCATAGTGCCGCCGTGAGCTCGATCATAGAAGGCAGACAGCACAGCAGCAGCAACGAGTGCACGGAGGTATGGACCCTTCATTTCAGACCTCCGTGACTTTCAAGTTGGACAGCCGGCAGTCGCAAGCACAATAACAAATGAAGCAACGCGTCAGATGATCTAAATACTATGCAAGTTATTCCGTGCGCCAGCTGCAGTGACATTATTGAATGTCATCAACAGATGGCGTCCAGTCACAACTAAATCTGTGCTCCGGCTGCAAAAAAAATCATCCCACTTCTAAACGATGGCCATTACTGCGTCCTGACCAGTTGGCGTGATATTTAACTATATTAGAGCGCAATGTCTTCATTCCAGTATGAGTGGTGATTGAAGGTTGTGGATGAAGGTATTCAGCTGGAAGCTTTCTGTAGTGGCTGTTTTAGGCATCTGATCGGACCAGAATGTGTGAAAGGATTTTAATACATCCACACCACAACGTGAGCACAGGCGTACGATCTAGAGACTATTCAAGTTATTCGAGGCGTTAGCTGCAGTGACATTAATTGAATGCCATCGACAGATGACGTCCAGTCACAACTAAATCTGTGCTCCGGCTGCAAAAAAAATCATCCCACTCTAAACGATGGCCATTACTGCGTCCTGACCAGTTGGCGTGATATTTAACTATATCAGAGCGCAATGTCTTCATTCCAGTATGAGTGGTGATTGAAGGTTGTGGATGAAGGTATTCAGCTGGAGGCTTTCTGTAGTGGCTGTTTTAGGCATCTGATCGGACCAGAATGTGTGAAAGGATTTTAATACATCCACACCACAACGTGAGCACAGGCGTACGATCTAGAGACTATTCAAGTTATTCCGTGCGCCAGCTGCAGTGACATTAATTGAATGCCATCGACAGATGACGTCCAGTCACAACTAAATCTGTGCTCCGGCTGCAAAAAAAATCATCCCACTTCTAAACGATGGCCTTTACTGCGTCCTGACCAGTTGGCGTGATATTTAACTATATCAGAGTGCAATGTCTTCATTCCAGTATGAGTGGTGATTGAAGATCGAGGTTTAAGGCAGACAGCAAAAAGACCTTTGCGGCTGCCAATGAGTGAGGGGCGGACGAGTGTACGATTTATTATTGGTTTCAAGATGTCTACTATATCCGGAGAAACTTCAAGTACACCCAGGCGTGGGGAGAGGCTTCAAAACCGTACCCAGCCGGTAGCGATGGCCGGTAGGGAGGTTTTTGGCTGATTTATTTCTGCTCTCAGTTGTTGGCCAATCCAAACCTTATTTGTGCTTTTGTTCGTGTTTAAAGTCGGACGGTTGGAGATGGAAAAATACATCAGCAGCTATCACGGACCTAATTATTTCAGTTGGACTGTCAGGTGTTATTTTATTATTTTAGAGAAGGGTAAACGATGACCCACACAATCCTTAGCCGTCGTTCTCCCACATAAATGGAAGATACAAGCATTCAGATAATTCGGTCAAAGTGAATTAAAGCAAAATTGCAACGGGGCACCCTGAAGCTTGTACTGGTAACAGTGCAAGCTACTTTTTCTGATGAAAGAATAAGGCGGTGCCTCGGAACTTCACGTACACTGGTACGTGCAGAGGAAGACGGTAAGAAGAAGCGAGTACTTAGTTTAAGTAAAAAGTAGAACTGTATTTAGCATAGTTAATGTCTGTTAATAAATCACTATTTATCCTCATCTAACTATGTCTAAATACAAATGTGTATATCAACTATCTGCTCACCACTCATTGCGTGCGTCTGTCGTGGCGCGTCTTCGTTGGTTGATATAATGGCCTGTATCAACCAATTAGGAACTACTCGTAAGTGCTACAGAATATTCGTCCTTATGACAATATTCTGAGAATATAATTCTTATAGTTATATTCTATTCACAAATTCCTATAAATTGTTATGTAACGATTCACCCCGTTACATCACCCCCCCCTTAACCATCAGTCACTTTAGTGACTGATTGACTAAATGAATACTCGTCCCAAATCATTTGGGACAGGGTTTGCACTTGTTGGTCCGAGTCCACTTTCCAAAATCTCATCGCATGGTTAACAGGCCCATGCGATGCGCGAGCAAGGCCGCCGAGAGCGCGTCCGCACGTCTCTGTGCGGACGCCGAAGCAGAAACCACAGCAACTGATGTCTCATCGGTTGCTGAAGCGACTCAGCCTGTGTCACTTGGTGATGCAGGCGCTGGTCACGAAGACACTCATGTCTTCACAGAGTATGAGCTCGGTGTCTCATACTCTCCTGATACGGAAGACGGATCCGTATCGACGGCGATCGAATCCAAGCCGCCTGCCAAGCGTGGCATGGATGATGCTATGCGTCGTAGCATCTTTGGTTCATCTGATGAATCAGATGAACAATCGCCGAAGCGAAGGCGCTCGAGGCCGCGAGACTCGGGCGCTAACAGTGGTGTCGGTTCTCCTTTGGACACCACTTCGCAACGAGGTGCCAGTCCTTCTGTCGGCACGTCGCAGGAAGATCGGGACCGCAATGTCTTGCGTCTCGCTCCCGAGAAGAAGGCATGGATGCCTCCTAAATCTGTCATGGATCACTTGTCGGCGACGACGAGTGATCGTTATCGAACACGGTTGTTCGATTCGTCAAGGATCCATCACCTTGACCCCCAGCGCGAAAGACTATCGCGCTGAGAATGAATTCTTCATCGATGCTTTCTTTAAGCATCGATGGTACAGTAGGAATCACAAGCGTGATGGTCCCTCACTACTTCAAGCGTGGAACGCCTACATCCATAACCTTGAGGATGTAGGTCGTGACGTTTGGAACGACGAACTAATCAAAGCTCGTGGTAAGTTTGAAAAGCGAACACCGGCAGGTGCACGCTACAAGCTGCATCGTCTGTCTAAGGAGGGTGGGTTACCCAGCCTCTCTTGGGGAGACTCGTGTCCATGTTGTGTGAACAACTCTGTACGAGCACCTAAGGAGGCTTACCTCCTTACTAGCCCGTTGTGGCGCGTAGGTATCTCTAGTGAGATGTACGAAGGGATTGACAACCTGACATCCCTTTACGACCGTGCCGGGAAGACTTTCTCCGGCGGTCCTTCTGCGGCACAGGATGTGCCGCGTCGTACTGCTCAACCAGACCCAGTAAGTCAACCATCAGTTGGGAGCGGGGCTCCAAAGTATCCCAGGACGGGGGATAGCCGCGCCACCGGACGAGGTAACTCGTCCGACGTCCGTTCACATCGCGGTGGTTCAACAGCCGCTCAACCAGATAGCGCTGGCCACCGCGAGAGTCCTCCAATGGAGATGGATGAGGAGGAAAGACGCTTTCCAAACTATCGTAAGGGAGCGTGCGTCCCCGAGAGCTTCGTTGATCGCGTAATGCAAGGGTTACGCGGCGACCTCGAACATGAGCGGGACAGGCGTATTCAACTGGCGGACACTGTCTTGAAGCATCGAGCTGATTTTGTTTTTGCTCAGCTTGAGAACGAGAGAGCTTTGACATCTCTGCGTGACGAGCTAAGGGTAGCTCGTGGGGATGTTGATCGGTGTCGGGCTGAGATAACCGCTCTCCAGACCCTTGTCGATGCCCATCATCGGGAGCACAAGGCTCTCTGCGAGATGCTTGAGCGCAAGGGCGTTCTTCATCGGAAGAAGCAGCGTACTGATGATACGACTTGAGCCGACCAACGTAAAACGTGGGATGCGTTCGCATCTTACGTGGCAACTCGATCGTGTATGCATTGCCTAGGCGGTGCAATACACGAAATGGGCCGATGTACTTGGGTAGTAGTTTACTCCTACCCACGTTAGTAACTACATGCTTTGGTAGATTAACCGTAGACAGTAGGACTAAGTCACCTTTACCAAATAAAAGAGTGTTTGCCCTTCCATTCTTGTCAGCGTTTTGCTTTTGCTTATCCACCGCTTCGGCGATGGAGTCTTGCACAAAACGGACTACCGTTTCACGAGCCAGTATGAACTCATCTGATGACTCGTTAGCTTCAGTGCGCCGTGAGTGCACTGCAGCAACATCAACCTTTTCTTCAGTGAGGGCTTCCGCACTCTCACTAGCATCATCTTCTTCGATATCGATGTTATCGATATCGGCATCAAACGCAATGACCTCATCGTCAGAGCGGGATGAGCGTGAACCAAATCGGTTTTTGCTCGCGCGAGTCCCTCCCCCCCTTGAACCAGAGTTACACTCTAGTAAGGTGGGTACACGCGGATGGCGCAAGCCATTCACGTAAAACGGTGTATGTGTCGTGGACGCATGCACCGAGTTGTTAATGTCAAACTCTACCATTGGCAAAAACTCACTCCAACTCTTTGTGGCGTGGCTGTAGGCGCGACGAGGTCGTCCCTCGTGACGCACTTTGCCAAGCGAGACAATATGGCAGACTGTGCGGCCAAAGAAGGGTCGCAAGAGACGGCCGTGAAGCTCTGTGGACTCATTGTCGGCATATACTGTACGATGTAGACATCTTCAAGCGCGTTCCGAGTGATTTGAACACGGAACGCCAGAAATCAGCAATGAATCGTGGATCTCTGTCTGATACGAGTTCACGGGGCAACCCATGAAGTCGGAAGATGGTGTCGATAAAGACACAAGCACAGCCACTTGCCGTGATTGACTCTAGTACAGCCACTAGGTGTACCATTTTGCTGAATCTGTCAACAAATGCAAGAATACCCGTATTCCCGCGTGCGTCTTTGGGTAACCCGAAGACGAAATCCAATGAGATGGATTCCCAGCACTCAGCCGGAACCGGTAGAGGCTGTAAAGGTGCACGCAGTGAAGGACTTGACTTCACTCGTTGACAGACTTCGCATGCGCGAACATACTTTCGCACAAACTGATACTGGCGGGGCCAGTAAAAGTCTCGACTCATCGTGAGATATGTTTTCTCCCGGCCACAATGTCCTCCTATAGGAGCATCGTAATGCTCGAACATGATCCGCAAACGCAGATCAGTATCATCTGGAATGACAACACGTGGTGTGTCACCAGAAACGGCTGTATAATACAGTAAACCGTTGCGAGTAGTGTATCGATCTGATGCAGATCGATACGCAGGCGACAATCGTTTCAACGATTCTCGAGATGGTTGTGATAGATGTGTCAACAACTTCACAATCTCACCATCTTGAGCGTATGCCCGCCTCACATCATCATACAACGTTGTAGATGGTAGTGAGGACGTCATAACCGCAACAGTGACTGTCTCACTGTTGGGTTTCACGACTGGTTCAAAGTCGGGACGACGTGAGAGTGCATCAGCGACGACATTAAGTCGTCCTGGTTTGTACCCGACCGTAAATTTGTATTCTGCAAAGCATGAAAACCACCGCGCCATTCGTTGTGAAAGGTGCGGGCTGTTCACTGCCGTGCGTAATGACGCATGGTCAGTGTCAACAATGAAGGGTCTATCTCCCAATAGGTAGACTCTGAACTTCGCGAGTGCATACTTCATGGCAAGGAGTTCCTAGTCATGCACTGGATAGTTCCGCTCAGCTGGTTGCAGCTGACGCGACTGATAGCAGACGACGCGTTTAACGCATTCAAGATCGTACTGCGCAAATGCACAGCCGATTGCGAAATCGCTGGCATCACAGACCACATGAAATGGCCTGTCCTGATCGGCTATTGCTAGGACTGGGGATTGTATCAAGCTCTGCTTGATACCATCAAAGGAGCGTTGACATTCAGCGTTCCATAATCACCTCTCGTTCTATTTCAACAAACGAGAGAGGTGTACAGTCATCTCGGCGTAATTGCGTGAATACTCGTGCAAATACGCCGCTAGCCCAAGGATTTTCGAAGACCTTTGACATCAACTGGCACGGGCCAGTCGGTGATCGCCTTGATCTTTTCGGCAACAGGACGTAAACCGTTCTTACCAACGATGCACCCAAGAAGTGGTATTTCGCTTGCTGCAAATCTACACTTCTTGAGGTTTGCATACAATTAATGCTTTCGCATGATTGTAAGAACCTGTCGGACGTGGTACCTGTGAACCTCAACATCCGAATTTCCATCCATATCCCGACTATTGATGAATACGTCATCGAAATAACTCGGTGCGAATTCTCGTACTGGTCTCAACAGATGTGATACACATCTGTTGAACGTGACAGGGGCATTACTAAGCCCTTGTGGCATTACTAGCCATTCCCAGAGCATGCCGCTAGGCGTTCTCACTGCAGTATAGGGTATGTCCCGTTCTCGCATAAGGATTTGATAGAAGCCATCCATCAAATCCATGGACGAAAAGATGGTACTCTTTGACATACCATCAATGATTACGTCCTTCCTCGGTATCGGTGTCTGAGCCGGTACCGTTGCAGCATTCAACTTGTTAAATGCATGCACAATCCGCCACCTCCCTGTTGCTTTTCGCACACAGAAGGTCGGAGAGCTATGTGGGGAAGTTGATTCCCTCACATGGCCCGCAGCTAAGCGATCGGCAAAGAACTTGTCGATCGCAAGTACTTGTTCACGAGGCAGTGGCCACTGCTTCATGACACAGTACTTCAAGACGGGTATTAGTTCGGTCTCATCACGACTTCCTTTGTCCATAAGCAGAACGCGTGGCACGGAATCTGGAAACAACATCTCTGAATTCAACCAAAACTTACCAAAAGGATTTGCATTCAAAGACTCACAAGACTAAGATGTTTTTTGCTCAATCCGGGTCTTCTCATCGAGGACACTCTCATCCATCGATGAGCTACTGAGAACTCGTTCTTTCTCAGTAGACACTTCTGCCGACCGAATATCGGCGCTTACTCGTCCTCTGTGACGAGTACGCATATCTGCTTGATCTTGTCACTACGCAGATCTCGCAAGTATATTTTGGATTCTAGCGTTGGCAACTTGATTACCTCTAAAACTGACTTCGGAGGTGTAACCAGATCAAGTGTATAAGCGCGTACACTTCATCCATCATTCATTAAGACATTAATGGTCTCGGTAATTTCCTGGAAAACACATCCGCAGTTGGTTGGGGATCCACACCCTCAACATTACTCTCTCGGGAGTTATTGCTCTCAGGAGCGCTGGAACTTTCTTCCAGTACGTGATTCGACTGTGGTTATACCACCACAGTCACGTCCTCTTCGATCGACTCTCTTTCAGTCGATCGGGATTGCTCTATGATCGACTCTTTGTTAGTCGATCTCGCTTCAACGTGTTGTTAATCCTGAACAACACTACTCTCTCTTCTCGGATGCACCCTTCTTGGTGTGCATCCGTGTTTCAGTCCACTAGATCTCTTCGAGTGGCGAACCTTCGGCGCTGCCTGTGTCTCTACACAGGTGCCGAAAGCTGGTTCTACAGTGCAGTGGCCTTCTACACTGTGATCTTGTGCAGTCATAAAACGACTGTACCACAAGTTAGGCCATCGCACTCACTTGTAGTACATACACACGCTTGTGGACGCTCCAAGACGTTCATCAGATGGCCATCTGATGAACAAACGGCATGCATCTTCACGAATCGATGCTGCCAGCTGATCCATGGCTGGTACTTTCGAAGCCATGGTAGTCCGAGGATGACATCAAATTTGTCATTCGAATCTATTACGACGAAGTCATCATCGTACTGTCTTTCTTTTAGCGTGTTTTGGATTCCCACTACACGTTTGTTCACTGTTACGGATGCGCCTGTAGCAAGGCACGCCGTCATCCTTGTTAGAGGGGACTCTCGCTCAACATAGATGATTCTACAATCTTCTAGCGAATCACGTCAAATATAGCTGTCCGAAGTCCCACAGTCAACTAGGGCACGAAGTGACATTCCACATATCACTTCGATCTTCAAAGTGATGAGGGACACCTCATCACTAGGTGCAGTAACACGCAGAGACTGCGTGTTGGGAGCAATCCTCGTCAAAAGTCCTGCAAATTCTCTTGACGTTGCTAAAATCAGCAGGGTGCTTCGCCTCTACTGACCCTGTCCGTTTTTTGACGGTCCGACTTGCTGTCGCGGCATAGCTACATGGTCGGACCCACACTTCGGACCTTTCCTCGGCTAACGGCGGTCATCACGTCCTGTCATTTGACGTGATGCGGTGTTTGGGACACAGCAATCATGGGCGCAGTGTCCAATCTTTGGACAGCGATGGCATCTTGCCGTTCGCTTGTGATTCAGAGAGCGAAATTTCTTGCTCTCGATGTAACAGAGTTCCATTGGTTCTGGACCTCCTGTTTCCTGTCGTCTCGTCGGACGATAGTGTGACAAGTTATCTCGAGACTGTCTCAGGATGAAGTCTTCTCGTTCCGCATACGCTATCACCTTTTTTAGCGTATGGAAGTCCTCTCGGAACAGGTAAGTCTTCACCGGCCCATCTACAAGGCCGTAGATGAACACGTTGATGAGCGTGTGCTCATCAACAGGTTTTTCTGTAATGCTCCTCGCAAGGTAGCGTAGGTGCTGTGTGTAAGCTTGCACGTCACCCTTTCCTTGCGTTAGCCTCAAGAATGCAAAGCGTGCTCTGAACTCGGCTCTCAGCGGCTCAAACATCTCTTTGAGCCGAGCCTTCAAGGTCTCTAACGACTCAAACACGTTTGGGTCGTGTAGCTTGATCCCTAAGGTCCAAGTCTTTGCTCGTCCTGTCAAATTTGACAGGGTGAAGGTAACTTGCACTCGTCACCCTCGATGTGACGGGCCCTGATGGCATCGTCTAACTCGACGAGCCATCTTAAAAGGGAATCTTCATCGGTTCCCTTGTACCTTGAGACATCTATCTTCAAGGTTTCGGGTCGACGCATGTGCGTCGGCCTGCCCATCGACTGATGATAGCTTTGCTGCTGTAGCAAGGCTATCTTCTGTCTCTCGACGGCAAGTTCCCCTTGTAGGAACTTGTTGATAGCGGCATGTTGCTGATATTTGTTTAGGTACTCTGTGGTGGAGTGGGGTTCGCTCATTTTTTGAGGCGATCCCGACTCTCCACTGGCGCCCAGACGACTGACTAACGGATGGGTACTCCGATTCCACTTGCACTTGTTCCTCCTCACCTTGTGTACCCGTCGGCAGGTCGGGTTGCACTCTTATAGGTGGACTCGACGAGATGCTAATCTTGACCGTTGTAGAGATTGGTGCTGATCGGGTGGAAATCCTCACCCGATCGCGTGTTCTGGGTTGGCGCTCTCCTAGAGTCGTCGTGATCTGCCCTGATAACCTCTTGCCAAAATGTGTACTTGAGTCGCGAGCCTTTCTGGCCACTTGAGTTGTCTCGCGATATTGTACTTCAACCGATACGGTTGGCTGCGTCAGATTGCAGTAGGGGTGTGTTGAGAGTCCTATCACTCCTGGCCAAATAGCTCCAGGGGTGATCGTTCTATCCTTGATGTCGAGATTTTAGTGTCGATCTTCTCCCGGGTTGGATATTTTGGCCTCCCGCCAGACGTCGAAAGGCCAAAATATCCAACCCGGGAGAAGATCGACACGAATGTGTTTAGAAGCAAATTGAACTCTGTTTAATGTTAACCAATCAGAACCTCACACCTTACCCCTACACTAGAAAAATCAGATGCCACGCGTCGCCTCTACAGATCGCCCCTTGTTCCTATGTGGCATAGACCTGACACACCAACCGTCTGATCGCATCAGGGCATGGTCCACGCCAGATTGCGGTCCCTTGATCGCGGATCCTGATCACGGTCCCCTGATCGCAGTCCACTGATTGCGGACCCTCAATCGCGGTCCTCTGATCGCGGGCCCTTGGTCGCGGTCCCATTCGCCGTTCTGAATTGTTTTGACAGGATGAGATATTTCCGTGAAAAATCCCAAGGGTGTCATCCACATGATTGTTCCTCGTCCCACGATCGTTCCGCCGGTTCCCACTCCGTAGTTAGGTATACGTGTGATTTTTACGACACCGATCTTGATCGACTTTACCACAATCGCCCCCTGCACAAATAGCCGATCTGCAACATCTGGCTCGCTTGTGCACGTTTTAGTCACCACTTTCCGTTTTATCCTCCCTTTGCCTTTCATGGTTTCCCCGTCGTCTACGCACAGCTTGCCACCAACTAGTTGTGCGCCATCTCCCTCGGTGGTGACGCGATCTGGTCCCGCACCTTCGGTCGGTGTTGACAATTCGCCACGCGAACACCCAACTGGCCCCGTTTCCACTACAGACGCGGTTGAAGGTACCTCGGTGAGCGGAAGCCCGATCGGCCCTGCTTTGGGAATCGATGTTGCTGAGGACCTCGCTTCAAGTACGGAACCGATCGGCTCCACGCTGACGCCTGATGTCCTTTACAATTCTGCTGCAAGTGACGAGCCGATTGGTGTCGGAGAATCTGCTGCAGCCACTGATCCGATGAGCTCCGCGTTGACGCTTGATGTCGTCGACAATTTTGCTGCAAGTGGCGACCCTATTGGGGCTATTCCGTTGCCTACCACTCGAGTTTAAACATCAATAGTTGATGAAACGACCGCGGTTGGTATGATCGCTGGACTTTATCAGCGGATCGCATCCCAGAAGGGTCTTGTGGATAGCTATCGCGATCTGGAGCAAGCGTTTCGGGAGCAAACTAGGAGGGGTGATTGACTAGAACGGGAACTCCGTTCTCTTAACGAGTCAGACTATTCTTTTGTGGTCTTCACTCAAGCTCGTGGTGATCACATTCGTCTGGATTTAAAAAATGCACTGGCTGGAGTCGACTAGCTTCAGGAGACAAGTCGCGCGGGGGATTGCTACGAGCAGCAAATGAGCGACCTAAAGTCAAAACTTCTGAAAACGACCCGTTCACTTCATACGTTTAAAAAACGTCATGATCTCGAGCTGGCTTACTTGCTACGGCACATGGATGAGGCGAACGCTCGATTTCAAGCCGTACTCTTTAAGGCTAATTCTAAGAGAGCCAAGTACAAAGCAGACTGTACCAAGGCTCAGACCACGGTTCGTCACCTGCGTGCTGCTCTTGCCGCTGTATCAGTGGAGAGCGATCAACTTCGGGATGATCTGGCTGAGTTGGAAGCTGAGTATGACCGACCGCGCTCCTTGCTCTCCGATCGTGACGATCGGGTGGGTATGCTTCAAGCTACTATCTCGGGTTTGGAGCTAGAGCGCGATCAGGTGTTGCGCGATCGCGACGTTCTTCGAACAAGCATTGCCGCGCTCGTTACCAGCCCCAGTTTACCTTCCTCGTCCCGTCCAGTTGAGACGGCCCCATCTACGAGTGCTCGTGTCAAACTCCCTAGTACTTCCGCTCAAACTCCTCTTCCGCGGACCAAGAGAGCCAGAATCGAGGCTACCTCGCAGTCGGTCGTCAAGATGACACCCAAGACTCATTCTCCGACTGCGTTCGGTATCTTCTCCGAGCCTTCTACACCGTGTAAAATCCCGAAGAACAACCCTTCCCGATCACCCCACAGTTCTACACGATATCAATCAAAACTTACGCCCAAGACTCCCGCTCTTCCCGGACCTGGTGTTCAAAAAGGCAAAGGCAGAGCGCGCAATCCCACGCCTGCTCCAGCTAGCTCGGATGACGATGATTCATCGGATGCTGGGCCTCGAACCTTGGCTGCACTCTCCCGATCACGCTCTTCTTCACGGCGTAAAGTCCCGTTGGGTAATCCGGCGACTCCTTCTTCTACGTTACCAGAGTTGATCGTTGTGGATACCTCCAGCCCGGATGTGGATTCCCTGCCTCCCCAGTTGCCGCTTCCCTTAGGCCAAAACCCAAGGTTTCCAAGGTTGACTTGTTTGGCGAATCTTTTAGCAGTTCGGAGGGTACGGTTGGCGTTACGGAGGACGTCCAAGCCCCAGCCAATAATCTGTTGTCTCCGGCCGAATACAAAGATCCTCTCAAGACTAAGGTGATCCGCGATCAGTGGATACCCGGGTATCACTGTCGCGTACCAAATCTTCTGTTCAAGTTTCACCTTTGTCTGCGCGCCGGGTGAGCTGGATTAGCGTGTTGGAATTGGATTTGGAGTTCTTCTATCGCCATCTCGCCAGGCCCAAGCATTACCCTTTTCCAGCCTCTCCTGCTGTATCGAAAGCACCTCCCATGTCTGAGTTGTCTCCCCACTTGTTTTCTTCGGCGCGGGTTGCTGCGCTTTATCGTCAGGAGCCCTGAAAATCTTTGCGCGTGAAGATTAAGCCCATATCTTTCCAGCCCGTTGGGTGTTTCGAGCAGTTGCTGGAATTATACCACTCTTTCGAAGAGCGCTGTATGGAGACGTTGTGGGAATCAACTCATACCTTGCCCATTTCTTCCGCCGATCATGTTAAAGATCCTTGCTGGCGTTATTCTGCGATCAGCGCAAACAGCGGCGATCGCGATCTGGACCTCCTTGGAAAACCGTAATCAAGTTCATACTCCAAGGATTGGTAGAAGGCCATTGCGACTTGGACATTCTGCTGGACTCAGTTTTCTTGCACCTACCTCGCTTACATGAGAAGCAGTTCCGTTACCCCGGGTGGGGGACTGGGAAGACTAACATTCCCAACCTGGCTTCCGCTTTGTCGTTGACGAACTCTGCTGAGCCATGGCGTAATCAGTACCGGACTTCGATCGCGAATCACCCAGGCATGTCAATACCTCGCCTATCAGGTAAGTTCTTCGCCCCGTAGTCGATCGAGTTCAACACATTTCGTGTGTTAATTTCATTTCTTCATACTCTCTTTAATCTTGATCTCTCCGGTAATGTCCTCTACCTTAGGCCTCTTGGGCCGCGATCGTGCTTCGATCGCTACACACACATACAAACATACCCTCCTTTTTTATACACCGCCTCTTGGTGTAAATTTTCCCACCGTACGACCATGTGCAACCTCCTTGCACACTTACACACCCCATCCACCTCGATCTGGTCTAGAATCCTGGCTCTTCTTTGTGTTTTTGCATCACTTCGAACCTATTTCGACTTATCCGATCGCGATCATATTCTTGTAATAAAGCGCCACAATTTAAGTCTGCTTCATCCACCCATGATGGATCGCTATTACCTTTCCATTGAACCAGAAACTGACGGTGCACTCGTCCGTAACGCGTCTTTCGACCCGATCGGACGTCCACAATATTTGTCACCTCGAATTCACCATCATCCAACTCGCCTTCCCAGCTATCTTCTGGTAGTAGGGCTTCATCGAAAACGACCCGATCGGACTCATCTACCTTCAGTTGACTTTGAGGCCGCTCTGGGAACATCTTCACTGGCTCTAGCTTTGACACGTGTACTATTGGGAACAACCTATAAGGTGCGCCTGATATATACAATTTTACTGCATGATCTCCGCATTTTTCCATTACTCGAAAGGGTCCGTGCCACATATGGGCTAACTTCCATGCATATCCATCCTTCACGCGATCCAAATACAACCTCACTTGTGCCCCTTGATTGATCTCTTGCAGATTTCGGTCGTTATTGTGATGATCCGATCGGTCCTGGATAGCGATCTTTAACCGATCGTTTACGATTGCTCTTGCCTGTTGATACTGACGCTGTATGTAATATTTCCATCTTCTTGGATCTCGATCACGAGGTTTGACACTTCCCATTGGTAATGCCGCTTCCAACGTCGATCGGGGGTCCCAGCCATGGATCAGATGAAATGGTGTCTCTCCGCGGACTCGATCTTGTGCGGTATTTATCGCATAGGTTAATCTTTCTGCATATTCATCCCAATCTCTCTGGTTTTCGTCAGCGACGTACATCTTAATCGATCGCGTTAGAGTTTGAACCATGCTTTCTACGTTTTCGTTCGCTTGAGGTTGATACGCCATTGTGGCTCGTTGCTTCTGTCCTGCAATCTTGTTGAAAGCTTGAAAGAAGTCAGACACAAATCCTGGCTCCCGATCATGACGGATGATTTCACTCGCACCCAATTTTCGAAATACGCTTTCTTGATAGATCTCTGCAATCGTCTATGCAGTTCGGGACGAACTCGCTTTTGCGAACACGTAACCCGAGAACAGATCGACCCACAACAGCAACTCAGTATTTCCCATAAACGATCGCGGTAAAGATGGGATATGATCCATTGCCAGAATTTGGAATGGGTACGTCGCTTGCGAGTTGCCTGGAAATTCACCCCGATCTTGCGGGCGACCTTTGCCGGTTTCACAATCAATACATTCGCCAACATAGCGTTGCAAGCTTCGGTACAATCCTCGCCAATAGAAATTCGCCCTGATCCGATGGTATGTACGGCCTACCCCTTGGTGCCTACCATCTTGACTAGTATAATAATGGTGTAGGTCATCTTGTTGCAGAAACTCTGGAATTACCAGACGAATTGACTCTCCACGATCTTTGCTCTTTGATGCCACCCTTGGGCAGAAAAAAGAAGTCCACTTTGGTCGACTTCGTAGTCTGGCGAGATTAGTGCGCACATCTTTGCGTCTCTAGCACTCAGCGTGGCTATATCCCCGATCGGATATGTCTTCAAGTCCGATATCCAACTTTCCTCATTTTGAGCCTGGTTTTTACGTTCGATCCGGACTTGTTGTACCATTTCTTCTTGTAAAACTGTCTGGGGGCATCGTCTTCGCGTCGTTGATCGCGTGATCGCGGCTACCTTGACTGGGTGGTTAGTCTGTTTTGGTATCAGTAGTTCATTTAACCGATTAAGGGTCACGAGGTCGTCTCGTTCTTGGTCTGATACTGCGACAATTCCTTTCTCCTGACGTAACGCCTCGCTCGCTAGTTGATCAGCACTCTGGTTCCAGTCCCGTTTCACATGTAGCAATTCGTGTTTTGGCCACGATCGGAGTTTCTCCATTGCCTTATGTTTCAAAAGTTGCAGACCTGGTGCTTTACAGTCGATTTCACCTCGCATCTGTCTTATTACCAAGTTCGAGTCATCACAAAAGATCACCCGACCTCTGATCTGATCGAACAGTGACTCCAGACCCAGCAACAGCCCACGATATTCAGCCTCGTTTATCGTCACATCTTTCGCAAATTCTGAAGTAGCCACCACGATCGTCCATTCAGGCAAATTTCATATTATTGCGCTGTAAACGCCACCTTTCTTCTTTACCCTAGTCAATCCATCGAAACTGACCACCAGGACACTTTCGTCTACTTCGACAGTGGGTGGTGGCACACTAATGTTTTCCGTGGTTGTTTCCTTGGAGCGATCGCGATCAGCACTTCATCCACATCATTTCGAGGTGTTATACTTGCAGCTATCGTACCTAGCACTTCGTCTTCGCCTTTTTCACACCGTCTGATATCTTACGTCCAGTTCGATAGTAACGCCGCCCGTCTGCTAAGACCCGACGACTGCAATAGCCAAGCCAACGAGGAGTATCTCGTAAGCACCATAATCTCCCGTGAAACCAACATCGTCTAGCATATGTCTAACATTCGGAGGAGGGCTAGCACTTCTTTCTCAACAATTCCGTAATCGGCTTCGTTGGATTTCATCGTGCGACTAGAAAAAAGGACAGGCCA